GTTGCTATGGGGGTAGCGGGGACAGGTACAGAGAGAGGCAAACTTTTCAGTAACCTCGAAATTCTAAGGTATCCTTAAATTTGGAAACTCCAGGTGTCAGAAAATTATATATGCATGTAGAGGTTAGGGAAAGCAGAAGACTTGGATTTACCACTTATTTATTTTAATTTGGATTACTAGTAGACCAATGAGGTAAATTCACTGAAAATGTTACCTGCTGTAGTTCCTTAAAGGGGGGAGAGCAAGCACCCCAGGGGATGGGAGTTTTAAAAACTGGGAGAAGTGGAAGCATACAACATATGGGGGAGCCACTGCATTATAATTTAAACTTGTAAATGCATATCTTCTTTATTCCAAAAATGATGTACTTCATTTTTCCTTTGTTAATGATGATACTTGCATAAACATATTCATGGTAAAGCAGTTTTGGAAAATGGCTTTTTGTGATCCTAGAAATCTGTTTTATTCAAGGAGGGACTTTTAGGTTATGTTAGTTGAAAAAGAATTGGTACTAGACAGAAAATTGAAATTGCATGCTCAGTGGCACACTTGAGAGCACTTTCAGAAAGTCTATCTCCACTCTCCTGAGCCCAAAATTAGAGACAATCCTGCCTCTCTGAACATACCCTAGGTTAGAAGTTCAGCAGCATTAAAACTTGGGGGTATTTTTCCTTTTCTTCCAAATCCCTGCCTTTGCTCTTTTCATTTCTATACATTGCTAAACATCAAGAAAGAAACCTTTTCATAGGATCTCTCAGAAACGAACAAATTAAAATATAATACCATGCCATATGAATCTGCTTTATTAGAAAATTAAAACTACAGGATAGAATTTGTACACAGGCAAAGATCACCTTGTTAGAAGTGCAATGAAATACTGGCAATAGCCTGGTACCAAGACAGACCCCTGGTAAACAGTTATTAAAGGAATAGATCTGGGGCTGAAGAGCTGGCTTAGTGGTTAAGAGCACTGACTGCTCTTGGTTTGAATCCCAGCACCCACATGGAGGCTAACAACTGCCCATACCTCCAGATCCAGGTGAATCCAATGCCCTCTTCTAACCTCCAGGGGCATTGCACAACACGGGTGGGTGCACTTACGTACATGCAGGCAATACACTAGTACACATAAAATAAAAATAATAAAATATTTTAAAGGAATAGACCTAATCGTGCAGTGCTTCCATGTAGCAGAATGTTGGTCAGACACTAATAATGAGCATATCACCTGTATTTGTTATGAAAGAGATATGTTTATGATGTGATTGCAGTTTATTTTTAATGTATAAAACAGGGCTGGAGAGGTAGCACTTACCTACCATGTGTGAAGCTCTAGGTTCAATCTCCAGCACCACAAAGTGTTTGGCATATAAAAAAAAGTAAAGAAGAATACAAACCAGTGGGTATCTGCCTGAACTTCAGTGAGATTACAGTAGTAGCCCTTGGTTGATTTTCCTTATTACCTTCAGATACCCATGAGCCATTCCTCACATAGATACCCAAATGATGTTTTTGAAAGAGACAATCAAGACTGTGTCCCAGCATGACTGGAGCTTTCCACTGGCTTTTGCATTACTCCGAGGCCTTCTGTGGCCTCCTGGCTCCTGTGTGATGGGGCTCGTGCCCTCCTATCCAGCCTCACCTGCTGCCCGCTCTTGCCCTCTGGCTACCTTTCGTTTCCAACACCTGCCAGGTTCACTGTGTCCTAAGGCACTTTCTGTAGCTGCTAGTTCTGCCTAGAATGGTCCTCCAGTATGACTATGAGCTTGTCCTCAAGTCTCAGCTCAACTGCTACCCACCTCCATCAGTTACTTACCCACCCTGCCATATTTCTGTAGCTCCTGACTATTGGAAACTGTTTACATATGTGTGGCTCATTTTCCTATGAAAACCTAAATGTCAACAGGGCAGAGTCCTTCTCTGTCTAGTTTTTCCTGCTCCTAGCATCATGGAAGATGATCAAAGGAGGGCACGAGCCCCATCACACAGGAGCCAGGAGGCCACAGAAGGCCTCGGAGTAATGCAAAGCCAGTGGAAGGCTCCAGTCATGCTGGGACACAGACTTGATTGTCTCTTTCAAAAACATCATTTGGGCATCTATGTGAGGAATGGCTCACGGGGTATCTGAAGGTAATAAGGAAAATCAACCAAGGGCTACTACTGTAATCTCACTGTAATTTATTAGTAAATAAATGAATGGGCAAAAGTACAGAAGGATACTCCTCAAATATTAATAGTGATTACCAGAAGGGAGAGGATTTAAGGTGATTTTCATTGATTTTTCCCTTTTCATTTGTATACACTAATTTCTCTGCAAGGGTCATCTGTTCCTTAAGTAATTCTTTATAAATTACTCCAGTGCTTAGCTAGGCTAAGGAAGTAGTTTTAAGGATTGCAGACAGTTGCAGAGAATGCATTATTTGCATGTGATGCTGTGCAGTGGGCGCTGAATAAACATCTGCTGAACGCCTTAAAACCTTCATTTGAAAGGAGGAGATTCCCCCAGGTTCTGTGGTCATTTGCCCACCCATGTCTTTGTGTGGGAGGAAAGCATGTGACATGCAGCAAGGCACAGATGTACAGAGCTTTATCTCCCAGGTTTCTGACCCTTGTCCCACTTGCGTGCTTTGCTCTGGCAATCACAGTTACTTTGCTCCAGGGAAAATCCATTATAAACAGCAGCACATGGGGCTCTGGAGTGAGATTTGCTTCACTACACACTGCTTTTTTAAAAGATAATGTGTAACCATTAATTCTACATGTAACAGAGACATCGGCTAGACTGGCTGCCTATCTCTAGAAATAATCTATACCATAGTATGCCCTTTCCCAAGCTGCTTGACTATAATAGTAATGAGGCCAGTAATGATTCTGTTTACTAATCGCTTTGTGTTTCAGAAATGATAGGCATAGTAATTTGCAGTCCTAAAGTATAAACTTTTTTTTTTCTGAGATGGGGCCTCACCCCGCTGGCCAAGGCTGGCCTTGAACTCAGGGTCCTTGTACCTCCACCTTTGGACTGCTGGCCATGCCCAGCCCAGAAGTTATTCAGGGGTTTTAGATTGACTTCTTTTCTTTCCTTTTCCTTTTCTTTTCTCTTTGTTGTCGATTTGCTTTTCAGTGCTTTAAAGCTGACGCGGTGTACTGTATACCATCTCTCTGAGTGAATTAGAGCGCTTATTCAGGCTGACAGATAAGGACACAAAACCAGAATTTTGATAGCTGTGACCCTAGATGGTTAAGGTTCCTGTTCATTTGTGAAGTTTACAACCTGTGTTTTAACTTAAACATGTGCTCAAAGGAGGTGGTGAAGGGGAGGAAGGAAAACCAAAGTAGAAAAGGAATATTCAGAAACAGAAAGAAGCAGGCGTTTCGAATATGGAGATCATATATTTTTCAGGTGGCTTTTTTTTCAGGCACCATGTGGTTAGAGCCCTTATAGTATGTGCATCTTACCTCTATGTCGTTTCTTTGAATGACTGATGCTATTCCCCAACTTACATAAAGGCTGCTGAGGGCAGCAATAAACCCTTGGTTCTCTATTTACATTACAAATGCCAGACATTCATAGAAAAAAGTTATTTCTCCTTAGTGTTCTTCAAAGCCAGTTCTGTAGTGTGTGTGCCAAGAGCTGCAGTCATTTATGTTCAGGGCCCCTGTGCTGTGGAAGAGTAGCACACACTGATTCTAGACCAGTGTCCTGGCCTTTTGAAGAAAGGCACATTTAAAGGAAAAGCACTTCGTTCTGCGACAGGCGGTCACTTCTGATGGCCTTGGTGTCAGCGGGCCTGTAGCACGCGGCAGTGGGAAAGTCCGTGAGGCTCTGAGGACTCCTCATTCTCACAGGAATCCTTTTTGGTTTAGAGTTGCTTCATGTTCTTTTCTATTTCCCCCAGCCTCCTTCTTTGGCTTCCTTAAAACATCCCAGGAAACTTTTCATTAGCTGAGCAAAGACACCCTGAAGAAAGTTGACTCATTCTAGTAGTTGGAATGCAAACCCCAGAAAATGCAAAGCCATGGTGTGTGTAAATGTTGCTAGGCATGGAACATCTGAGGAGTGGGACTGAGCTCGGTGACGGGGAGCAGCAGAAGGATGCCGCCTGCTTGGCTAAAAGACCCAGCAGTAGGGCCAGCTATTGTAAAGCCCCTCGCCAGATGAACAGGGACCCTTCTCTGGTCACAATAGCCATTCACACTGAGAAATCTCATTAAATATTCAGCCTGTGCTTCCGGCAGCTCATTAGGGCCGCAGCAAGCAGTGACGTGGATGCTGGAAAGCTGAAGGCTGGCCAGCATCTCAGGCAGAGACTGAGTGAGCTGCTGATGGCCTTTCTGTTCTCTGCCTATCCTATGATGACCAGTGTGTGCTCCCTGCTTTGCCTGAAGTACAGGTTGAGTTCAAAAAAAAAAAAAAAAAAAAAAAAAAAAAAAAAAAAAGCCAACTAAAAACAAGCAGAGGGCAACATGCAGTTTCTGCCCTGGCCTTAGATATCGTCCGGAAAGGATGTGCTGGCCCCATCGGAGCCCCCTGACCGCTTGAAAAGCTGCCTGAGAACTCAGGGCCTTGGCTAAGCACAGACGATGTGGTGCTGTTGTATAGTTGGACTGTTTGAGGACTATGTTAGAGGGGGTTTAAGGTGTGGTTTTGAACTTGATGCTTGGGGTTAGAATAGCAAATGGCTCTTCTGTAACCTGTCAGCTGTAGAGATATTGGGAGGAATCATGGTCTATACAGGAGCTTACTCTGGGCCAAATTCTCACTACTAAGTAGCCTGGTGCTTGGTGGTTGGAAATCGTCGTAATAGGATATGGATATTTAGCTCTTTGGGGTTCCTCTGGTGTTGAACACTGTGCTCATACTTCTCTATTTCTCCATGGGTTTGCCATCAGTACTGTGCTATGTTTAAAGCTAGGAAAAACTGTTACAGAAGAATTTAAAAATGATAAACAAAGTGTATTTCTGTGCTCACTGTTGACAAGCTTTCTTTTTTTCCATACAGAAAATGTTTTCAGACTGCTCATTTCTATGTGGAAGACAGCAATTCACCTCGGGTGGTCCCCAATGAGAGTATTCCTATTATCCCCATCCCAGGTGAGTAGGGCACTGCTGGACTTGCAGTGCTTGCTCTCCCTTTTGCTCTCTGTCCTGTGTGATGCCTGTGACAAAACATTATTTTTATAGCTTTGTAAAGCTTGCCCAGTCTCAGAGATACTTCTCTAAGGGAGCATAATGAAATGTTCACTCTGTAGCCTATCTACAAAGTCATAACAGCCCTCTGACGGAGCAAATGCCATGAGTTAATATAGGATAGAGTCACAATAAGAAAGAAAATAGTAGAGAAGTAGAAAACCACACCGAAGTCTTCTTTATGGCCTACCTGCATAAAATTTCGTTTGGATAGGCAATTTGTGCTAAGGGCTCTATGTCTTAACCACAATTTGTGATGTGTTTTTTTCAAAGGTGGGTTTTCTTCCAAGATTTCTTACTCTGTTAGTGTTCCTTAACATTGAATACTTCGGTTATGAAGTTTGTGTGGAAGTCTGGGGATGGATGTACGATCTGGCATATATTTCCCTTTTTTTTAAGCAGAAGGCTAAAACACTGTTAGTGTTAGGTGTAGGGACTGGTGGAGCACACTGTGGTGAATGCTAGCAGATGCTGCAGACATCCAGGGTTTAGAGGTGGGCTAGTTGTTATAAGTAGGATGTGAGATCTGAAGATCTCACCCACCATTTGTTTTTGGCATTCTTTTCCTTTTGTCAGATTTAGTTTGTGCTGCTGAGTTTCATCGTGGACTTCTAAATATATATATTCAGGTATCTTATGCATCTGTCCTCTTGGCATGAAGTACACTACAGAGTGCTGCCCCTCCACACCTGCAGCTCCACTCATCTGCCCTGTTTTCCATACAATTCCTACCAACCAGTATGCTTTTTTTACTTGTTGTCATTTTGAACATGAATAAGAACTTTCTAAGGGCAGCTGGGTGGATTTTCAGTGCTAGAATAATACCTGCAACATAGTAGCCAATTTTAAACTAGTAGATGGATAGATAAGTGTTAGCAAAACTTCCTACAAGCTCATAAAAAGTGTACCTCAAAGCTCAAGGTCACAGCCATTCTCTACCTATCAAGCAATTTTGTTTTCAGATTATCACCAGGTGTGGTTATAGCTGGGGATTTTCTTGTCCCTTTAAGTGTCTATACGTTATCATGAGATATTGCTGGGATTGGCTATACTCTAGGCAGAGTTTTCTTACTACATGAGTCACAGAAACAAGAAGTATGCCAGAATAGTCTCATTTGTTCTTGCTGGATCATTCTGTGGCAGCTAAAGGATTGTGGTACAGGTGTGGCCAGGTTCTCAGATAAGAATGTCCTTCCCCACTGACCTTTATCTTTGGTGGAAGGAACTGTACCTGGTATAGAAAAGAAGCAGACAGGAGCTTTCAGGCTTCCTCGGCACCACAGAAGTAGCTTCGACCAGTCTCCCAGACATGCGAAGTAGCTTGCAAATGCTCATTTTCCTTCTGTGCCACCCAGCATGTGTACTGACGCTGACAGCTGCCGGGAGCCATGCTCCCTTGGGCCTGATTCATTTGACAAATATTAAGTTGCTGAGCATTTAACATTCATTTTTAAAGGATAAATGTTAAAAAATGCTTCTTGGGGCCCTTTCGAAGTTTCATTTCCTTTTACTACTAAAAAAAGCAAAGATCGCACCTCGGCTGCACCATGGAGGCTTTGGTCGGAGCGTTAACCTCTGAGCCTTTGTTTCCAGAATTTATAAAATGAACAGCCTGTGTCCTTGCCTGTCCTTGCCTTGGGCTAGTTCTAAAGATGACATGAAATAATACATGCAAAAGTGACTTGGAAGCCATGGATGGAGCCAGAGTGTAAGCCATGGACCTGCCTTCCCAGGTCGTCCCACACTTTGAGGAGAGGTGGGACTCTCATTGTTCTCCCTGTGGATGATATCCACAGGGCATAGCCCGCTTCACACTGCTATTATTTTTTAATACTTTATTGAGAATTTCATATATGCTCAAAAGGTGTTTTCATCAAATCCACACCCACTCCCTCCCCTCCAACTCCTCCCATATCTCCCTATCACTTTTTTCTGACAACTTCATGTACTCTTTCTTTCTTTCTTTCTTTCTTTCTTTCTTTCCTTTCCTTTCCTTTCCTTCTTTCTTTCTTCTTTCTTTCTTTCTTTCTTTCTTTCTTTCTTCTTTCCTTTATGGGGCTTTTGGCTACTCTAACATTCCCCACCTCTGAAGAGGTAACCCTAAAATCTGATAAGGATTAGATAAGAGTTCCCAAATACTTTAGACATTTTTGGCCTTTTGGAATGGCGTATGTTGCTGAGAAGCCCAAGGATATTTTGACTTTTAGCCAAGAAACTAGCTACTCTTCTTTGGAGTCTTTTTACCCTAACTGCCTAGCCAATTCCTACCTCCTATTTTTATCACACCATCCTCTGAAGAGGTTGCCCAAATTGCCAGTAGGGAATCCAGATGCAGTCCACTCTGGCTTCTTCCGTAGATGCAGGGTGAGGCAATTGGGGTATCCCTTCAGTGGGTCTCTATCTAAAAGACTCCCAAGTTGCATAAATCTTATCTGTATGGGGAAAAATGTTCCTTCCACTAGAACCCTCCAAAGATGCCATCAATTGTGCCTACTTTGCCTGACCTTTGAGTCTTAGGCTAGAAGTTGCTTTTGAATGTTTTCTGTGTTGTCAGCTACCTATTTAATTACCACGTTAAATGCTCAGCAACCCAAATGCAACTCTTTAAATGTGTGTTTCCTTCCTGTTAGGATGATGGAGTTTCACTCTGTATCCCAGGCTGGCCTTGAACTTGCAAACCTTCTGTCTGAGCCTCCTGAGTGCTGGGACTGTAAGTCAGTGCCATCATACCTAGCTACAGCACTAATTTTAAATCCCAAAGCATTGGTAAACTACACTGAGGAAAACTCTTCTTTTTGATGTTCACTCCTTGAGGATAGAAGTTTATAGAAAGTTTTGAAGAATTTCTAGTCACCAATTTTACTAATTCTAACTGAAATGTAGGAATATAGGTTCTTTTTTAACAGCATATATTTTTACTGAAATTCTGTGCATTTCCTACAATACAACATAATCATATTTAGACCCTGTCCCCTATCTACACCCCTCATCAGTCCCCCACTGGATTTTATGTATCTATGTTAAGGACTATAGAGTCAAGTTTATGTCCCCAGATGTCCCTGGGTGTGAGTTCATCCACTGGAGCCTAGTCAGCCTATTATGTTCTTCCAATGGCATATGGCAAGGACAGTCTTTCAAGAATGAAGATCCTCCCCTCGGTCTCACCTACACTTACGTAAAGTGTGGAAGTGCTACTGGACATGGAAGATAGTAGCTGGGGCTAACTGGACATGGAAGATAGTAGCTGGGGCTAGACACATTAGAAAGAACTCTAAACAAGAGTATTTGTCGATATAAAAGAAGTGCTTTGGGATAGCTTCTAGTCTTGATAAAAGTGATAGCAGTTCTTTCCCATGATGACTTTGCGCTGTAGTGACTGCATCATGCATGATGTATGAGCAAAGAGTGGGGGTGATAAGTTAAACTGTAAATGCAGGAGAATGAAAGGAACTTTGACTCCTAATAGTTCTCACTAATGGGTTTTCAAAATCAAATGTTTCATGGTTACTAGTTTCTTGTTACTATGAGAGAATAAAGCATGATTGAACATAGCAGCCCAGCTGTCACAAAGACCAAGGGCTGGGCATGTGTCTCATCGATAGAATACTTGTGCCTGTCATGCCTCCAGGCCCTTGGTTCAGTCTCAGCACTGGAACAATACTGATGATGATAATAATAATAAACAAAGATCTGGAAATAGTCTTTTGGTTGGGATGGGTGTGTGTGTGTGTGTGTGTGTGTGCATGTGTATATTTGAGATGCCAGGGATCTGCTAGGCAAGCACTCTACCAGTAAGCTACATTCCTTGCCAGATGATGCTGTTTGAACAAACTTAAGATTTTCATTAGTTATTAATGAAGCATTACCAATAAGTATCATTTCAAAATTATGTATTCTATCATTCTATGATATGTTTTATATCAACTTTTTAAACTTGGAAGTTACCTCATGAAATTAACCTGTTTAAAGAACATACTGGAAGGACTTTCCAGATGTGTAGCTTATCAAAAACAAATACCAGGCATGGTGGCACACGCCTTTAATCCCAGTACTCGGGAGGCAGAGGCAGAGGCAGAGGGCAGGCAGATCTCTGTGAGTTCAAGGCCAGCCTGGTCTACATAGCGAGTTCCAGGACAGCTAGGGCTACAGGGAGACCCTGTCTCAAAAAGACAAAAAAAAAAGGCTCTCCCCTAGAAATTAGAAAATCAATCAGACTTTCTAATAAGAACATTACAGCACAGAATGCTGCTGCTAGCCAGTAGCTTAGAAACTCAGAAATGATTCATGCCTTTCTAGCAGTTAAAATGTATCTTAATAATTTGAAGGTCACTGGCTTTAGCAGGGTGTCAGCATATAAAGGGGTTTTAAACATGCCGTTTAAAACCTTTGGGATTAAACCAACCTTGTTGGCATATTTTATTTATACAAAGATTATCTCCAAAGGAGATTCATTGGTCTTTTGACTATAATGAAGCCCTTTCTTCATTGACTTCATTGTGCCATAAATGAAATTTCTTTTATATGTCAAGAAATAAAATGTTCCAATCTTCAAACACTCCTTGCATCCTAAGAGTCTAATGTAGACAAAAATCTTTTTATTGTGTCCTAAGTCAGGAACTAAAATCTTGATACTGTTCTTTCATATTTCAAATATTTCATATTTGCTTCTTAAGTTGACACAGAAGTAACACCAAGCTTAGAGGCCTAAAATTGGCCTGCAGGAGGCTGGGAGGGCAGGCAGAGGGAAACTGGGCTCCCTCTATCCACTAGAGGTGTGCTTACTAGTACCAAAGTTGAGGAGCCTGGCCTGGGGGAAGCATGTGAGCAGCAGTGATGTAAACTGAGTCCTGTGCTAGAGCTTTATGTTCTCTCAGCCTGCAGACAGAACTGGCTGGAATCTGGGA